TCACTGTTTACTTCAGTATGAGTTTCTGCGGAGCACAGTGGATTAGTGCTCACGCCCCCACATTATTCATGTTCTCAAGTCACAGAGTCGAATCCGAGGAGTGAGCTGGCGACCGGTTCAGGACATGTGTATATGTGTAAATAATGTTTTGGTTACACTATGGTTTCCGCTACTATTTCAGTTTACCAAACCAGTTTTTGATCTGACTTCGGTCGGGTACTATAACCGTTTGTTATTAAACTAAATTAACGATTTTAAGATAAAGTCAGATTTTACGGTAGCACTCTGAATCAGGATTTCGCAAATTAATCAGTGTTTTTAAAAGAAAGATTTTGCGAAAAGCGCACTTTGATTTTCATGAAATAGCGGGGTGTTACATCTATACATGCACAATAGCGTAACAGAGTGCAATATCATTTCACTAATGTGCATATATAGTATTTTAGTATTTATTCAATGTTTTATATTATTGTATATATAATATTAAAAAAAAATACTAGCTCAAACAGAAATAGAAAAAAAATCAATTAAAATACAATAATTGAACCTACATAAAAGAACAAATCAAATTTTTTTATTGCGGTCGATTTTGATCGTTTTTTTTTTAAAACAAAACTGTGAATTTTGTAGATCGAATATTGTTATTGATCATCACACATAATATATTGTTACGATAATGTGAATTCATTAAATCGTTAATGTGCAGTTAACATACTATATTGTGCATTCTTGAGTATATATATTAAAAAATATTCATATAAGTACATAGGGATAACCGTGCATTTTTTATTATTATTAATGTGTATTTAATTAATTTTTTATAAATTATAAATTCAACTCATTGATTAAATTGTAATATAATAAAATTTCTAAAATTGCACATAAATCCTTCATATGTGTCTAATCTTCAAATGAGAGCCCAATCAATTGAACCACCGTCCCCGCTTGTCTGTATACATCATCCGCAGGAGCTTCAAGCATGGCCGCCCTTTGCCTCGTAATTATCCACTCCGTCGTCGTCGCCACCGCACTTTTCGGCATCGACAACTGAATTTGTTGGATGGGATTGCCTGGACGAGCGCCCATCGCCGAAATTTCGCTGCCGGATCCAAATCCCCTCCCTTCAAAATTCGACCGATAGCCGCAGCCGGATATCCTCACCGCCGACGAGCTATTTTATGGCGTCTAATACTCAACCTTTACCTGCTTGTCTCTTAATGATTCGTAGTTGATTCAACCTTAATAGGAGGCGGCGTCGGAGAATTCTGGGCGGGCGGCCAGTCCATAATTAGGAAAAAATCTTCGGGAGGTTGCTAATTTCATCTCGTCCAGGTCATTCCACGGCTGACTCCGTCGGCGCCCGAGGTCGCAGACTGTAAATTGTGCCGTGTCGAGCCGTGGTTGTGCGGCAGCGATCTCCGGTGTAGCCGATGGGAGAACGACGAGGTCGGGTACAGGTAAGACGACGATGGAGAAGTGAGTCGGCGGCGACTGGACCTGTGTGCGGCGGTGGATGGTGGCTGAACAGACGGCCCCGTGTGTATGGATGTGTGTGTTCGCGTGGAATGTGTGTGTTTTGTGTGAAAGAGAGAGAGGACGGGTGTGTGAGGTTTTGTGGGCCCACGTTTGTTATGTGATGTTGATTAAGCAGTTACTAGTTTACCCTTATACGTTGTGAAAAATTGATATGTTTTTAGCCATTTGATTATTTGATCCAATGGTTGTTGTTTATTTTTATTTCTTTCATTGAGCATTATTCTCACCAGAGCGCATTCCTATATATATATATATATATATAAGACATAAAATTAATTATCTTTTATAACTTTTGATTTGACGTTCATACTGAATATACAAACTAAACAAGAAACTAATTCTGCTAAATAATATGATTTCATTTATACAAATCGATGTTGATATAACTTTAATAAATTATTGTATTTTTTTTAAATATAATATATATGTATTGATTAAAATTAATTTTGCACATACTATTT